GTCGACTCTTACGACATGCTTTTGGGGAGGCAGTGGGTCTATTCTTGTTTTCCCTACAATAGGGCCCTGGAACCCACACGGGGGAGAACTTGACCTCTGATGTAGTCAACATCCCACTTCCCAAGACATCACCTGGTTCCCATTTTAGGCGGATCCACTTGGGATCCAAGTTCCATTTTGAAAAACATTCTTCCTCACCTTCGACCTTCAAGCCAAAATGCTAGCAACTAGCCACTGCCTAACCATCACAGACACAGACTGTCACCCGTGGTGAACTTCACAATCTACCTACAAACAGACTGTCACCCGTGGTGAACTTCACAATCTACCTACAAACAGACTGTCACCCGTGGTGAACTTCACAATCTATCTACAAACAGACTGTCACCCGTGGTGAACTTCACAATTTACCTACAAACAGACTGTCACCCGTGGTCAACTTAAAAATCTACCTACAGACAGAAAGAATAATAACAGCAAATATCATAGTATGTAGGCATCTGGACCCTTGCAGGTGCTCCATCTGAGCATTGTGATGTTAGTTAGTTCATCAACAGATTATACGCACTGCGCATAGGACAAGTCCATAAACCTTCGGATTCCATCTTCAATATATCCTTCAGCCTGTGGCACTGATAACACCAGTTCAGTGTGGGTTGACTGTTTTTCTTTGGCTACCTGTGTAGTGTTCCTGTCTGGCAATACCTTTTTGACCTGAAGTTCTGGCGTATTCCTGGACAGTGCCAGGACTAATTGTTTGTTCACCAGTTTTTCACATGGAGCAGCAAGGGACATTTCTTCTGATGTTCACGGGCACAGGAACGGAGCAGGTACAGGATGACCCGGTTGCAGTGAAGTTGAAACCTCAAGCAAGACTAAGACTAGGATTTCTACCTAATGGACCCTAATGCTTGAAAGTTAATCCGACATAGTGAAATCCTTGATGGAAATAACAACATTTAAAAAACGGAAATATCAACTCTAATTACTGGTCTCTGGACTTTACTTTTGTTTTCTCATTGCCAGGTAATCTTTAATGCCAACACCTATCAGATAAGTGCACTGTTGTAATGTTTAAAGTAATATTTATTGATACATTACATCAACAACAAGGCTAACGTAGGAACATCTAGCAATACAAAGTCTATCAAGTCACTTTACAATGTTATGTCATTTACAACAACTGCAAAAAAAAAAACACACACACAAGAAGTAAGTACTTCGCACATGCTTTTTTAAAAGATGTACAGTACATCCCAAATAATGATGCAAACAATGATAAAAAGTCATATGTACATTTAGCACACTAGTGGTTTATCTGATCTGTTGTATGCAGCAGTGAGACAAACAGCAGTCAGACAGACAGCTGTGATAATCGCCAGCAGTGTGAACAGATCTTGTTTCAGCCCAGATGCCACTGTAAAATGTATGAGTTATCCCGGCAGATGATTAAATTATCAATATTGCCAAACACAATTCCATTGAGACATGGCAACTTTGTGAGGTAGTATCATCATCAAGTGCCTAGTTGACTGGTATGAGGGTTCACCTTAAAGCACATTCTGCAGTCTCTAACCGCAGGTATCTATTTGTGTGTTTATAACCTTTCAGTCTCAGCTATGTTAACTCTGTGGGTGTTGGGAATTTGCTATATAGAACTAGATATAGAGGTCAGTTGCAAATATGTTTAATCCTTTTGCCCCATGACCCAGAAATAAACTACGCCATTAGGGAATTTCAAATTAAAAATCCTTTTAAAAAAAACACCACCCATTTTACACAGGTCACAAAACACTCATAACAATTCTATTTATTGACCTCAGCAATATTACATTCTATACAGAACATGAGAAATCACCAGTAAACACAAATGCAGCAGAAAATTACCTGGGCCAATTCTCTATGAGTCCAAACATAAACTGTTATGGTGGCTAATGTTATGTGACCCAGTTACAGATTAACACTGTGTCCTATGGGAAATCTCGTCACAATTTTATGTGACCCAGTTAAAGATTAACACTGTGTCCAATGGAAAATCTCGTCACAATATTATGTGACCCAGTTACAGATTAACACTATGTCCTATGGGAAATCTCATCATAAGTGTATTTTAAAATATTATGAATGAACCAATGTTTCCCAGAAAACCCCTGTAAATGTTATATTTAATAACTATAGTCATTCCTGCTCCTCCACAACAAGTACACAGGTGCAAGGAATAACGGCGCCGCTAGGCCAACTGCTGATAACTGCTGACAACAAATGAAGGGCCAGAGACATAGTTCATAACCTCTAGCTCTGATATGTTTCTCAGTGTCAGTCTTCTTAGACAAAGAATACTGGAAGTGAAATCATAGACAGACCAGTGGACGGCCTGGGAAATCACAGACAGACCAGTGGACAGCCAGAGACATCATAGACAGACCAGTGGACAGCCTGGGAAATCATAGACAAACCAGTGGATGGCCAGGGAAATCATAGACAGGCCACTGGACAGCCATGGAAATCCTAGACAGACCAGTGGACAGCCATGGAAATCATAGACAAACCAGTGGATGGCCAGGGAAATCATAGACAAACCAGTGGATGGCCAGGGAAATCATAGACAAACCAGTGGACAGCCATGGAAATCATAGACAAACCAGTGGACAGCCATGGAAATCATAGACAGACCAGTGGACAGCCATGAAAATCATAGACAAACCAGTGGACAGCCATGGAAATCATAGACAAACCAGTGGATGGTCAGGGAAATCATAGACAAACCAGTGGACAGCCAGGGAAATCATAGACAAACCAGTGGACAGCCAGGGAAATCATAGACAGACCAGTGGATGGTCAGGAAAATCATAAACAAACCAGTGGATGGCCAGGGAAATCATAGACAAACTAGTAGACGGCCAGGAAAATCATAGACAAACCAGTGGACAGCCAGGGAAATCATAAACAAACCAGTGAATGGCCAGGAAAATCATAGACAGACCAGTGGACAGCCAGGGAAATCATAAACAAACCAGTGAATGGCCAGGGAAATCATAGACAAACCAGTGGACAGCCAGGGAAATCATAAACAAACCAGTGAATGGCCAGGGAAATCATAAACAAACCAGTGGACAGCCATGAAAATCATAGAAAAACCAGTGGATGGTCAGGGAAATCATAGAAAAAACCAGTGGACGGCCTGGGAAATCATAGAAAAACCAGTGGATGGTCAGTTAAATCATAGACAAACCAGTGGACAGCCAGGGAAATCATAAACAAACCAGTGGATGGCCAGGGAAATCATAGTCAAACCAGTGGACAGCCAGGGAAATCATAAACAAACCAGTGGACGGCCAGGGAAATCATAGACAAACCAGTGGACGGTCAGGGAAATCATAAACAAACCAGTGGATGGCCAGGGAAATCATAGACAAACCAGTGGACGGCCAGGGAAATCATAGACAAACCAGTTGATGGCCAGGGAAATCATAGACAAACCAGTGGACGGCCAGGGAAATCATAGACAAACCAGTGGACGGCCAGGGAAATCATAGACAAACCAGTGGACGGCCAGGGAAACCATAGACAAACCAGTGGATGGCCAGGGATATCATAGACAAACCAGTGGATGGCCAGGGAAATTATAGAAAAACCAGTGGATGGCCAGGGAAATCACCAGTTTTGTGTATGTATGTGTGTGTGGTAAAGTATGCCTCTTACTCAAACATAAATCATTAATTCTGTACCAGCAACTAAAAATAGTAATGTCAAAAAATGTCTTAGCCAGCTACCGTTGTCATCTCTGCACTGGTCTCAATTGTCATCGCTGCACTGGTCTCAATTGTCATTGCTGCACTGGTCTCAATTGTCATTGCTGCACTGGTCTCAATTGTCATTACTGCACTGGTCTCAACTGTCATCGCTGCACTGGTCTCAACTGTCATCACTGCACTGGTCTCAACTGTCATCACTGCACTGGTCTCAATTGTCATCACCGCACTGGTCTCAATTGTCATCACTGCACTGGTCTCAACTGTCATCCCTGCACTGGTCTCAACTGTCATCCCTGCACTGGTCTCAGTTGTCATCCCTGCACTGGTCTCAATTGTCATTGCTGCACTTGTCTCAATTGTCATCACTGCACTGGTCTCAATTGTCATCACTGCACTGGTCTCAATTGTCATCTCTGCACTGGTCTCAATTGTCATCACTGCACTTGTCTCAATTGTCATCACTGCACTGGTCTCAATTGTCATCACTGCACTGGTCTCAATTGTCATCTCTGCACTGGTCTCAGTTGTCATCACTGCACTGGTCTCAATTGTCATCACTGCACTGGTCTCAGTTGTCATCACTGCACTGGTCTCAATTGTCATCACTGCACTGGTCTCAATTGCCATATCTGCACTGGTCTCAATTGCCATATCTGCACTGGTCTCAATTGCCATATCTGCACTGGTCTCAATTGTCATCACTGTACTGGTCTCAATTGCCAAATCTGCACTGGTCTCAATCATTTTAACCACAAACAGGAGCATCCAACTGGGTACTACTAATCTGTCATGTCTGGAGACAGTCTTAGCTTGGCAGACCACAGCTTCATACTGACTACAGTAAAATAACAAAACATCTGCCCATGCAGCAATAGTCAGAATGTGTGGCTGTGTGATATCTCAACTGAGTGATACTTCTTCCATGTAATCTTGTCAGATTAGGGTGAATATCATTTTTATTTAATATTTAAAATAAGATACATCACATCCTAACTAGTTACAGTCAGCAAATATCTTCTTCAGAAAATAAATAACTAATTCTGGTATCAAACATCTTCTCGAGTTAGCAAATATCTTCTTGTGCCAGCAAATATATTCCTGAGTCAGCAAATATCTTGAGTCAAAAAATATCTTCTTAGCAAGAAAATACCTTCCTGAGTCAGCAGCTATTTCACTAGATAATGTGATCTCAGGCATGTGGCTTGATCTACTGTGCATTGAGACCTGCTGGAGGTAGAGTGCCCATCACTGGCTGGAGATGAGACTGACTATACAGTTGATAATTTTGCTGCCTCTAGGGCAGGTCAGAAGATCCATGTCTGGCTGATACATCTTATCAGACAATAGTTGGTCCAGCTCAGATCTCAGCTCCTTGATCAGTTCAGCAACCTGTAATAGACGAACGTGACAGAGAGGGTGGGCACTGATGTTAGAATGGTACATGATGTCTGCATATGTTAATGAAAATGGGTTATGAAAGTATGATAATACTCCACTAATGTGACCTAAAATTAAATACATATAAAATAATATATGCTTACACACACTGATTAGTTAGGTATATGAGGTATTATCATCTGCAATAACTGCAAACAACTCTGTTCCATATTCTCCAAATCAAAAGTTTCCAAGGAGAAGATCCATCACCAGACATGCTCTCATGCAGCAACCAGCCATTTACTACCTGCCAATATCTCCCCTCTGTCCATGTTCAGTGAGTGCACTAATGGCAGGTGATTTTGAAGCCATCACTTCCACTCACTTGTTTTCATTTGCCTTACTTGACCTGAACAATAATAGATCCTTACCTCCCTGTGTGGGTTGCGAGGCCCAATGTGGGGAAAACAAGAACAGACCCACTGGCTCCCTAAACAAGCTTGTTGTAAAAGTCAACTAATGAGGGGCTTCCTCTGAAGTCAGACTGTATCTGCCTGAGAGGCAAAGAACCAACAGTCTGCATACAAATAAGTTACTTCTGTAAAATGGATGCGCACACAACACTCGGGTTCTAGAAAAGGTCTAAAGTCCAGAGATGGATGAACAACTAGAATATTCTGCCAGAGTTTACAGCTGGTGTACGCCAAGAAGAGGAAAAAGATCCTTACCAGATTTACACTGAGACAAGTTTGTGAGAAAATCACATGACGATGAAGTGAAGATTGTGTTTGTTGGTCCGAAGAAGCTCTTGCTGGAGTAGACAGAAACAAACTATGGGATATTTATGATCAGTATGGGATACAAAGACAACTGCTAGATAACATCGTGACCATGTACCACACTTCCCAAAGCACAGTGAGAGCACAAGAAGGCATGTCTGATATGTTTACAATCAATACAGGGGTAAGGATGTGTGCTCACACCTCTCTTATTGACTATATACAGACACATACTTAACCATCTGAGATTGAATGAATAATGATACTATCAGACAAATTGTGGGAACGACACCATGCATTAGATTCATCAAGAAACAGTAGATCAAGTCCCCTGTGTGGGTTCCGGGTCCCATTGTGGGGAAAACAAGAATAGACCCACTGCCTCCCCAAAAGCATGTTGTAAGAGTCGACTAACTGGGGGATTCCTTTGAAGTCGGAGTGCATCTGCCTGAGAGGCAAGGAACCAGCAATCTGCATACAAATAAGTCAGATCTGTAAAACAGATGCTCACGCAAAACTCAGGTCCTGGAACAAAGCCAAATTCCAGAAATGGACGAACAACCAGGTCTTTCCACTGGAGTTTATAACCGGTGAACGCAAACAACAACAACAAGTAGATCAAGTGGTTTGGCCATCTCGTTAGAATGCAGCAAGATCAAATATCATCACAAGCACTACATCTCAGATCAGCTACAAGAGCAAGAGGATGGCCATGAAAACATGGACTGACAACATTTAAGACACTCTACGCCTTCACGGCATGACAATGTGAGTATAGACTGCAAGAACATTTCAACAGGCCAAGTTCAACATGCATATAAATATTATTAATACTGAAGTGATTCAGGTCAGTAAAATTCCTAGGTCGCTACATATCGGGTTGAATGGTACTTGTCCGCAGCAAGTTAAAGAATTTAAATTTTTAGGAATTATATTCTCTGAGGGCAGGAGAATAGATCGAAGAAATAGAAACAAGATGCCAATGAGTCAGTGCCCTTATTTAGCAACTGGCATCATTATTAAGACATCCAGACTAAAGTATGAATGCCAAGAAACAGATCATAAACAGCATATTCATACCAACACTGCGCTGTCAGTTCGGGTCTTGGAAATTATCAAAGGCTAACCTACCAAACATTAACATCTGTGAAATGAGATGCCTGAGAAAAGCCGCCAACTTAACCATCTGAGACAAAGTTAGAAATTATATTATCAAACAGATTGTAGGAACAACGCCATGCAGCGAATTCACTGAGAAACAGAAGATCAAACGGTTTAGTCATCTAACAAGAGTGCTGCCAGAACAACTTCCAACGCAGGTATTACACACGAAAAGGACTCATCAACCTTCAATAAGCCTTTTCATGTTGTTACTTCACAGGATAATATCACACCCTATTGTACATTGGTGGTAACTGAATCATTTGTGACAGTGACATCCATTATCTATCAATTCAACACAAGAGACCAACCTGTGGTGAGGCAGCCATAAATTGTATCCACCCATCATCCACAGATAAAATGAAGTTTCCATGGTAGAGATCCATGGATATACTGCCTCCAGCAAACAACAGCAATGGATACACAGAAACCATAGAGCAGTCACGGATATAAACCTGCAGGTGGAGAGGTGCAAAACATTAGGGAGTTGTGCTGACACAACAGAATGCTGGCAAGAGTTTGTTAACATGTGGAGTGGGAGTTTGTCAACATGTGGGGTGTGAGTTTGTGAACATGTGGGGTGTGAGTTTGTCAACATGTGGGGTGTGAGTTTGTGAACATGTGGGGTGTGAGTTTGTCAACATGTGGGTGTAAGTTTGTCAACATGTGGGTGTGAGTTTCTTAACATGTGAGTGTGAGTTTCTTAACATGTGAGTGTGAGTTTCTTAACATGTGAGTTTGTCAACATGTGGGTGTGAGTTTGTCAACATGTGGGTGTGAGTTTGTCAACATGTGGGTGTGAGTTTGTCAACATGTGGGTGTGAGTTTGTCAACATGTGGGTGTAAGTTTCTTAACATGTGGGGTGTGCGTTTGTCAACATGTGGGTGTGAGTTTGTCAACATGTGGGTGTGAGTTTGTCAACATGTGGGTGTGAGTTTGTCAACATGTGGGTGTGAGTTTGTCAACATGTGAGTGTGAGTCTGTCAACATGTGGGGTGTGAGTTGTCAACATGTGGGTGTGAGTTTGTCAACATGTGGGTGTAAGTTTCTTAACATGTGGGGTGTGCGTTTGTCTTCTTCTTCTTCTTTCGTTCGCCTGAAATAAGTTATCTATATCAGCAGTTTTGTCTCTTGTATAAATTTCACTGTCGTTGTTAGTTCATTCAGTGGTCCATAGAGTTTACGTTCCACTGTTGTTCTTTCTGGCCAAAAGGTTTGCCTTAATGTGTCAAATTCGGTGCAGTCCTGGAGTACATGCTCTGCGGTCTGGGGCACATTTCCACAGGTGCACATGGCTGATACACCTATCTTGAATTTTGTGTACATGTGGTTACGTAATCGGTTGTGCCCTGTTCTGAGGCGGAAGATAATGACTTGTTCTGGTCTGTCCATAATAAAATAGTCGTCTTGTGCTGGGGCTGGTGGTTTCCTGATCGATTTAATGATTCTTTTCTTTTGGTGGTATGTGACTGGTACATCTGGCTGCTCTTTTTTCGCACCTTCCCCTGCCAGTTGATCAGCTTTCTCATTTCCAGGCACTCCACAATGAGACGGTATCCACTGCATTACGACTCTTCGCTGAACGCTGAGTTGTGTCAGCAGTGTTTGCAATTCTGGTAGTTTCCTAGACTGGAGTGCTTCAAGTACTGATTTAGCATCTGTAAGCATTACCACATACTGTGAGCCAAGGTTGGTATTTAGCAGTTTCTCTGTAGCTATCTTAATAGCCTGGGTTTCTGCATCGTAGTTATGGCAGTACTTCCCGGTTGGTACGCTGGACTTATCCCTAGTACCATCTGGGAATTCGATGTACACTCCAGCACCACCATTTCTAACTGCACTTTCTGCGGACCCATCTGTATAGACTCTGACCCATTGTTCTTGTGGGTATTCTTCATCAATATAACTGAGGGTGGCCATTTTGCGTTGTACACTATCTTGCTCTTTCTTGTCAAATATCCCTTTCACATTTGTCTGGATTTGTACGGTTAGTTTACATTTTTCTCTCCATGGGGTTTGTTCCGGAATACTTTTTAGTGGGCAGCCAATTTCTGGAAGGTCAGGAGTTTGTCTACATATTCTTTTTGCTTGGTGTATAAAGCTGCTTCTTTTTAACCGTCCCAAGGCTAGGTTCTTAAATCTATTTTCCATCGGGTGATCTGGCATACTGAGGAACTTTTCAGCTTGTATTTGCAACTTTGTATCTCTGCGTTCTCTCAGTGCCTGTGTTTTCCCAGCTTTCTCCATTTCTAATATGGGGGTTGATTTCATCCCTCCTGTGATGACTCTGAGCGCTTGATTTTGCACCTTGTCTAACTCCTTTAATGTGGTACTAGATGCTGAACACCATGCAGTTGACCCATATTCCAAGTGTGGAAGTATGCTCTGCTTGTATACTTTATTGAGTATTTTCCCATCTGCTCCCCATGTGGTTCCACTTAGTTTTCTTAGTATTGCTGTCTTCCTCCTGGCTTTGGTTGCTGCCTTGTTGATATGTTTTCTCCATGTCAACCTGTCATTAAATGTGACTCCTAGGTATGTGGGCTCTTTATCATCTCTCAGAGGTATTTCGTTTATTTTGATGGTGCCGGCTTTTTGCTTTGGGGAGAGGGTGAATAGTGTGGTGCTACATTTGTCTGTGTTGATGCTGACACACCATCTATTGGCCCATGCCTCAAGTGCATTTGTAGCCCGCTGTAGTGTTTTTGTGGCTATCGTTGCATGTTCATTGGTGCACCACAGTACCAGGTCGTCGGCGTACATTGCCATTTTGATTCCATTTGGTATCTCAGCAACCAGATCGTTGATAAATAAAAGGAAAAGTGTGGGCGACAGGACACCACCTTGAGGGACGCCTTGTCGCAGTAGAACTTTTTTACTTTTAAAACCATCTACCTGTACCCGGGCTCTTCTGTTATGTAGATATGCTTTAATCCAATTGTACATTTTTCCATTTATTTTATAGTTTCTCAATTTCTTCAAAAGCCCCTCCTTCCAAACCTTATCAAAAGCTTTCCTTAAATCTATCCATGCCGCGAGTACCAGTTTCTTATCTTGAAAAGCATCCTCTATTTCTTGGGAGAGGTATGTTGTCTGGTCTTCCGTAGAATAGAACTTTCTAAAGCCCGCCTGCTGTGGTGTAATGATGTTTTCACTTTCAATGTACCACTGTAGTCTGAGGTTGGTGATGCGCTCCATTGTTTTACAGAGACAACTTGTGAGGCTGATTGGTCTGTAGTTGGAGGCATTAGAACTGTCTTTCCCAGGCTTTATGAGGGGTATCATAATTGCCTCTCTCCAGATCTGTGGAACATTCCCTGTTGCCCAGCAAGCATTAAATATCTGTAAAAGCTTTGTTTTTGGCTACTTTTCCTAAGTTTCTGATCATTTCGTTTGATATACCATCTGCTCCTGGTGACTTCCGCATTTTCAGCTTTGAAATGGCCAACTCCAGTTCATTAAGTGTAATTGGCACCTCTAGCGCCTCTGATGTTATTTCTTTCTGACTTCTAAATTGTGTCTTTTCTTGAATTTCGTGTTTTTTTCTGAAACTGATTTCAATGTCGTTATCTAAAGCAAAAGTGTCCGCAAATAGGTTGGCTGCCTCTTTTCCTGTGACCATGTTTCCATCTTTCTGCAGCGTGATCTTTGAGTTCCACCCTGTGTCTTCATCATTAATTTGTTTCACAAGCTTCCATAACTTTCTTGTGTCTTTTTCAAAGTTCAGCGACCTTGTTTTCTCCTGCCAGCTTTCCCTTCTAGCCTGCAGCTTTGCCCTTACAAATGTTGCTTTTGCCTGCTGGTAGTTATTGTGATGTTCTTGGTTTGGCCTGGTCTCTGCTATCTTTCTGGATGTTTCTACTTCGTTATGTAAATTTTCTAGCTCATTACTCCAGTATGGCTTATAATGCTTACGGGCACCTCTTGGTATTGATTCTCCTGCTGCCTTTAGTACGCATTTGTTAAATTCTTTAACTACTTTGTTTATATCCTGGTCTACGCTGAGATTTCCAAGCAGTATACTGGTACGGTGCTTGAACATTGTCCAGTCAGCCTTCTTGTAGTTCCACCTTGGCAGCGTACTCGTTTCTCTGACCTTCTCATTTTCTACATTCAGGAAGACCGGTCGATGGTCACTGCCTCCCAGTTGATTTCCAACAACTCGTTTAATGTTCCATTCCAGATCTGGAGAGTGAAATGCTAGGTCTGGGGTAGTAGTGGTGTGCCACGACCTCGAGTAGAATGTGGGTGGATCAGTTGGCCTATTAATAAGAGCAAATCTGTTCTCATCCTGCCACTCCTCCAGTTTCTCTCCTCTCTGGTCTATATGGTCATATCCCCAGCTTTGTGAGTGGCTGTTAAAATCTCCACATAGAATCATCTTTTCTTCCACTGAGATTGTGTCTAAAGCCTGGGGACGATCATTTGGGCAGTAATAATTGATCAGGTAGAAGTCTGCATTTCCAGTTTGTAGTTTCAGAATGCGTTTGTCAACATGTAGGGTGTGAGTTTGTGAACATGTGGGGTGTGAGTTTGTCAACATGTGGGTGTGAGTTTGTCAACATTTAGGGTGTGAGTTTGTCAACATATGGGTGTGAGTTTCTTAACATGTGGGGTGTGAGTTTGTCAACATGTGGGGTGTGATTTTGTCAACATGTGGGTGTGAGTTTCTTAACATGTAGGGTGTGAGTTTGTCAACATGTGGGTGCGAGTTTCTTAACATGTGAGTGTGAGTTTCTTAACATGTGGGTGTGAGTTTGTCAACATGTGGGTGTGAGTTTGTCAACATGTGGGTGTGAGTTTCTTAACATGTGAGTGTGAGTTTCTTAACATGTGGGGTGTGAGTTTGTCAACATGTAGGTGTGAGTTTGTCAACATGTGGGTGTGAGTTTGTCAACATGTGAGTGTGAGTTTCTTAACATGTGGGGGTGTGAGTTTGTCAACATGTGGATGTGAGTTTCTTAGCATGTTAGTGTGAGTTTGTCAACATGTGAGTGTTAGTCTGTCAACATGTGAGTGTTAGTCTGTCAACATGTGAGTGTGAGTTTGTCAACATGTGGGTGTGAGTTTCTTAACATGTGGGGTGTGCGTTTGTCAACATGTAGGGTGTGAGTTTGTGAACATGTGGGGTGTGAGTTTGTCAACATGTGGGTGTGAGTTTCTTAACATGTAGGGTGTGAGTTTGTCAACATGTGGGTGTGAGTTTCTTAACATGTGGGGTGTGAGTTTGTCAACATGTAGGGTGTGAGTTTGTCAACATATGGGTGTGAGTTTTCTTAACATGTGGGGTGTGAGTTTGTCAACATGTGGGGTGTGAGTTTCTTAACATGTAGGGTGTGAGTTTGTCAACATGTGGGTGTGAGTTTCTTAACATGTAGGGTGTGAGTTTGTCAACATGTGGGTGTGAGTTTCTTAACATGTGGGGTGTGAGTTTGTCAACATGTAGGGTGTGAGTTTGTCAACATGTGGGGTGTGAGTTTGTCAACATGTAGGGTGTGAGTTTGTGAACATGTGGGGTGTGAGTTTGTCAACATGTGAGGTGTGAGTTTGTCAACATGTAGGGTGTGAGTTTGTCAACATGTGGGTGTAAGCTTGTGAACATGTTTGGTGTGAGTTTGTGAACATGTGGGGTGTGAGTTTGTGAACATGTGGGGTGTGAGTTTGTGAACATGTGGGGTGTGAGTTTGTGAACATGTGGGGTGTGAGTTTGTGAACATGTTTGGTGTGAGTTTGTGAACATGTGGGGTGTGAGTTTGTGAACATGTGGGGTGTGAGTTTGTCAACATGTAGGGTGTGAGTTTTCAACATGTGGGTGTAAGTTTGTGAACATGTTTGGTGTGAGTTTGTGAACATGTGGGGTATGAGTTTGTGAACATGTGGGGTGTAAGTTTGTGAACATGTGGGGTGCAAGTTTGTCAACATATGGATGCGAGTGTTTCAACATGTGAGCGTGAGTTTGTCAACATGTGGGGTGTGAGTTTGTCAACATATGGGTGTGAGTTTGTCAAAATGCGAGTGTGAGTTTGTCAACATGTGGGTGTAAGTTTGCTGCTGTGTCCACACATGTGACTATGTATCCTGGTCTACGCTGAGATTTCCAAGCAGTATACTGGTACGGTGCTTGAACATTGTCCAGTCAGCCTTCTTGTAGTTCCACCTTGGCAGCGTACTCGTTTCTCTGACCTTCTCATTTTCTACATTCAGGAAGACCGGTCGATGGTCACTGCCTCCCAGTTGATTTCCAACAACTCGTTTAATGTTCCATTCCAGATCTGGAGAGTGAAATGCTAGGTCTGGGGTAGTAGTGGTGTGCCACGACCTCGAGTAGAATGTGGGTGGATCAGTTGGCCTATTAATAAGAGCAAATCTGTTCTCATCCTGCCACTCCTCCAGTTTCTCTCCTCTCTGGTCTATATGGTCATATCCCCAGCTTTGTGAGTGGCTGTTAAAATCTCCACATAGAATCATCTTTTCTTCCACTGAGATTGTGTCTAAAGCCTGGGGACGATCATTTGGGCAGTAATAATTGATCAGGTAGAAGTCTGCATTTCCAGTTTGTAGTTTCAGAATGCGTTTGTCAACATGTAGGGTGTGAGTTTGTGAACATGTGGGGTGTGAGTTTGTCAACATGTGGGTGTGAGTTTGTCAACATTTAGGGTGTGAGTTTGTCAACATATGGGTGTGAGTTTCTTAACATGTGGGGTGTGAGTTTGTCAACATGTGGGGTGTGATTTTGTCAACATGTGGGTGTGAGTTTCTTAACATGTAGGGTGTGAGTTTGTCAACATGTGGGTGCGAGTTTCTTAACATGTGAGTGTGAGTTTCTTAACATGTGGGTGTGAGTTTGTCAACATGTGGGTGTGAGTTTGTCAACATGTGGGTGTGAGTTTCTTAACATGTGAGTGTGAGTTTCTTAACATGTGGGGTGTGAGTTTGTCAACATGTAGGTGTGAGTTTGTCAACATGTGGGTGTGAGTTTGTCAACATGTGAGTGTGAGTTTCTTAACATGTGGGGGTGTGAGTTTGTCAACATGTGGATGTGAGTTTCTTAGCATGTTAGTGTGAGTTTGTCAACATGTGAGTGTTAGTCTGTCAACATGTGAGTGTTAGTCTGTCAACATGTGAGTGTGAGTTTGTCAACATGTGGGTGTGAGTTTCTTAACATGTGGGGTGTGCGTTTGTCAACATGTAGGGTGTGAGTTTGTGAACATGTGGGGTGTGAGTTTGTCAACATGTGGGTGTGAGTTTCTTAACATGTAGGGTGTGAGTTTGTCAACATGTGGGTGTGAGTTTCTTAACATGTGGGGTGTGAGTTTGTCAACATGTAGGGTGTGAGTTTGTCAACATATGGGTGTGAGTTTCTTAACATGTGGGGTGTGAGTTTGTCAACATGTGGGGTGTGAGTTTCTTAACATGTAGGGTGTGAGTTTGTCAACATGTGGGTGTGAGTTTCTTAACATGTAGGGTGTGAGTTTGTCAACATGTGGGTGTGAGTTTCTTAACATGTGGGGTGTGAGTTTGTCAACATGTAGGGTGTGAGTTTGTCAACATGTGGGGTGTGAGTTTGTCAACATGTAGGGTGTGAGTTTGTGAACATGTGGGGTGTGAGTTTGTCAACATGTGAGGTGTGAGTTTGTCAACATGTAGGGTGTGAGTTTGTCAACATGTGGGTGTAAGCTTGTGAACATGTTTGGTGTGAGTTTGTGAACATGTGGGGTGTGAGTTTGTGAACATGTGGGGTGTGAGTTTGTGAACATGTGGGGTGTGAGTTTGTGAACATGTGGGGTGTGAGTTTGTGAACATGTTTGGTGTGAGTTTGTGAACATGTGGGGTGTGAGTTTGTGAACATGTGGGGTGTGAGTTTGTCAACATGTAGGGTGTGAGTTTTTCAACATGTGGGTGTAAGTTTGTGAACATGTTTGGTGTGAGTTTGTGAACATGTGGGGTATGAGTTTGTGAACATGTGGGGTGTAAGTTTGTGAACATGTGGGGTGCAAGTTTGTCAACATATGGATGCGAGTGTTTCAACATGTGAGCGTGAGTTTGTCAACATGTGGGGTGTGAGTTTGTCAACATATGGGTGTGAGTTTGTCAAAATGCGAGTGTGAGTTTGTCAACATGTGGGTGTAAGTTTGCTGCTGTGTCCACACATGTGACTATGTATCAACATGAGCTGACCGCTGTGTTCACACATGTGACTATGTATCAACATGAGCTGACCGCTGTGTTCACACATGTGAGTATGTATCAACATGAGCTGACCGCTGTGTTTACACATGTGACTATGTATCAACATGAGCTGACCGCTGTGTTTACACATGTGACTATGTATCAACATGAGCTGACCGCAGTGTTTACACATGTGACTATGTATCAACATGAGCTGACCGCTGTGTTTACACATGTGACTATGTATCAACATGAGCTGACTGCTATGTTTACACATGTGACTATGTATCAACATGAGCTGACCGCTGTGTTTACACATGTGACTATGTATCAACATGAGCTGACCGCTGTGTTTACACATTTGACTATGTATCAACATGAGCTGACCGCTGTGTTTACACATGTGACTATGTATCAACATGAGCTGACCGCTGTGTTTACACATGTGACTATGTATCAACATGAGCTGACCGCTGTGTTTACACATGTGACTATGTATCATAGCACAACTAGCTTGTTGTTCAGACCGTAAAGTTACTGTCACAGATTGTAGAGTTACTGTCACAGACTGTAGAGTTACTGTCACAGATTGTAGAGTTACTGTCACAGATTGTAGAGTTACTGTCACAGATTGTAGAGTTACTGTCACAGACTGTAGAGTTACTGTCACAAACTGTAGAGTTACTGTCACAGAACATAGAGTTACTGTCACAGACTGAAGAGTTACTGTCACAGGAGAACAAAACATGAAAATCACCAGTATGTAACTACAGATTTTACCACATGGGGAAAGATGTTAGTTATTACCTTGGTTGTCTTGATCTTCTCATGGTAGACCAGGTAGGGACTGGGGTAATGTCGCACCTGGAAGTTCACTGAAGATGGGTGTATGCTCACCTGAAACATACAAGAGATAATAATGAGAGATCACAATACCGGTTCAATTAACTAGTATAAATGTACTCAATATGCTGCTTAGGTGACAACATCTCACTATCTAAACATCTGAAGACAGTATATTTAACCGAACATCACTGTCTAAACATTTACAGAACAGATCATCATTATATATACACATGTGCCACAGAATATCATTAAATAAACATTTATAGAGCATAATAGCATTATATAAACATTTGTAGAACACCATTAAATGTACACTTGAGCTACCGAACAGCATTGTCCAAACACAGGGCAGAACATAATTCAAAAAACTTTTAAATGACGACACACTACTGTCTAAACATTTATAGAACAAAATGCAAATGTGTAAAAGTAAACATTTACAGTGCAGAAGACCGTTATCTAAACATTTACAGAATAATCTTTTATAACAAAGTTAGTCTTTAAAAAACAAAAAGATTCACTATGAACTTACATAACCATCTTGTTTGGTTTTGAACTTGAGTTCCTCCGCATTAGGTGCTCTGACAACTGCCCCTGTAGTTACAAGAAGTGTGAAGAATGTGAGATTTTACAGACTAATTTTGTAACAGAATACTTGTGAACACAAAAGTATGATGGATGAGAGACTTGACAGATTTTTTAAATAACAACCATAATGTATTAATAAAAACAATATTTAAAGGGTCATACAATGACACTACTTTAGAGCTCTACCTAGTTGGTTCTGGGGCCTCATTGTTGGGAAAACAAGGACAAACTCATTGCCTCAACAACATGCATGTCATAGGAGTAGACAAACTGGAAGCTTGGTTCGAAATCAAACTGCATCTGCCAGAGCAGGAAGGAACAACCAGCTGCACACAAATAAACCAGTAAAACGGATGTACATACAAAAGTCAGGCACTGGCAGAAAGACAAAGTCAAAATGGACGAACAACCAGGACTTTCCACCGGAGCTTACAACTAGGACTTTCCACCGGAGCTTACAACCAAGACTTTCCACCGGAGCTTACAACTAGGACTTTCCACGGGAGCTTACAACTAGGACTTTCCACCGGAGCTTACAACTAGGACTTTCCACCGGAACCTACAACTAGGACTTTTGTGCTTGGTGCTTCAACTATTAAAGTAGTTTTTGACTTTATATTGCAACACAGACTGCGACAATGGCAAAATGGGCTCCTGAGTAAGAGGACATTGTGCGTGCGTGCGTGTGTGTGTGTGTGTAAACAGTCTCCAAAGCTCAAGTCGAGACCCCCCTTCTCAACAGCATCATCTTGTGCGAGGGGAGTAAATATGATATGCTGACAACAGGGCATCATTCCATGATATGCTGATAACAGGGCATCATTCCATGATATGCTGATAACAGGGCATCCTTCATGATATGCTGATAACAGGGCATCCTTCATGATATGCTGACAACAGGGCATCATTCCATGATATGCTGACAACAGGGCATCATTCCATGATATGCTGATAACAGGGCATCCTTCATGATATGCTGACAACAGGGCATCATTCCATAATATGCTGACAACAGGGCATCATTCCATGATATGCTGACAACAGGGCATCATTCCATGATATGCTGACAACAGGGCATCATTCAATGATATGCTGACAACAGGGCATCATTCCATTATATGTTAAAGAATTTGAACCAGCCTTGATTACTGCAATAATCAAATGAAAAACACTGAGATTAGTTTTGCTGACAGGACACTGATATGGCTGACAACTCACCTGAGCTGCTGGCATGGTACCTTGTGTCTGGGGTGAGAACCTGGACTACATTAGGGTACAGGGCTGCCACCAGCATGGCAGACACCAGCTTCCAGTTGTTGGAGTTCACATTTGCCTGTGCACAAACATGAAGACAAGCTTTAATTACTAGCTACAGGGTAACACACGTCTCACTCACTGACTACAGGCAGACACACATCTCACAGACTACAGGCAGACACACATCACAGGCACCAGCGATAGGCAGACACACATCACAGGCACCAGCTACAGGCAGACACACACTGAGAAACTGAAGACCAACTTGTTTGGTCATTTAGAATGAATGCAGGCAGAACAACTACCAAGACAAGAGCTACACTTGAAAAGATCTGAAGAGGCCGCCCTAGGAGAATATGGATTGATGACATTATAAAGAGCTTGTACATCAACATGGAATGACACTAGTCAATGCTGCCCATCAAGCAATGTATTGCAAACAATTACTCCTCCCAATGCTTAACAGCAGAAGTAGAAATCTGTGATGTTGAAAGGAAGTTGAAACTAACGCTAAACTTAAAAATGGTTAATTCCAATTTCAAATCAGTACTGCTGTATGAAGCCGAAACAATTACTAATAAACTACAAACATAAATTAACTAGTGTTTGCTCACAACACAGGAAATCAAATGGTATGACAGAACACATAATGTTGAGCTTTAGGAGAAAACTAAACAAATTCCCATGAATGAAGAGGTGAGAAAAGACACTAGCATTGGATAGGACACACTGAGAAAGCGTGAGAAAAGTATAACTAGAAGGGCTTTACTCTGTAAGCCGCTGGGGCATCAATGAATTAGATGATCATGACAATGAATCAACTGACAACTGCACTACATGCGCACAATGCTCTTACCTCTATACCAGTTGCATTAGCCACACCATCTGATCCCCCTCTAGCTGCCCTTTCCAAATCCTTCTGTTGGATCCCAGACTGGATGAAACCAATGTCAGACAACAGTTCTACATACTGCTGCTTCAGGCTGGCCAGCATCTGTAACAAATATGTGACAAGTTGACCAGCAATTGAAACAAAAATCTCACAAGGTGACACGCATCTGTAACAAATACATGACAAGTCAACCAGTACGCATAACAAATATATAACAAGTCGACCAGTACCGAGAACAAATATATAACAAGTCAACCAATATCTGTAACAAATATATGACAAGTTGACCAGTATCTGTAACAAAGTCCTCATTGTATCAAACCAAAGTCAAAACGAGTGAACAGCCAGGACATTCCACCACAGCTCACAGCTGGTGAACAAAGAAGAAGAAGAAGAATACTAATCTTACTGTAGTCTGATTATATGCCTTCTTGCCCTTCCTTTCAGAATAAGTTATTCACCAGATTATCTGGCCACCACCCCCCCCCCCCTTTCCGCACCTTTTTTTATTAGTCCTTCTAGATCACGGAAGTCTGTTCAATCTTCCATGCCGTTCACATGTGCTCAAAAGAAATGTCACAGTCTGAGTTATTTGCTAAACAAATCATGAAGAGAATGAAAGGTTACATGTGACTGTTAGTTGTAACAGAACCCCACTTGCCAGAAAACACGTGATCTTATCTGACATGACAAAATCTGGCCTACCTGCAACGTTTTTACTGAGAGGAAGTTCTCCTGGCAGTAGACATAAGCCTGGTGTGCTCCCCTGTCCTTGACCTTACACCAACCCTAACACAAACATATACAGCAGATTATTATATAATACAAACAATTTTATTCTTGCAATAACAAGACAAATATTTAAAATAAAAAACACTCCTAACGTTTGAAAGACTAATCTATATATGATGTAGGCTCATCTTACTCAGCTAGCAGGGCGTCAACTTTACAAACTGTTCTTCTTCTTCGCGTTCACCAGCTGTACACTCTGGCGGAAAGTTCTGGTTGATTGTCCACTACTGAACTGCAGTCCTGCTCCAGAACCTGAGTGTTGCGTGTGCATCAGTTTTACAGATCTCATTCTCTTGAATACAGACTGTTGGTTCCTTGCCTCTCAGGCAGATGCACTCCGACATCAAAGGAAGCTCCTCAATTAGTCGACTCTTACGACATGCTTTTGGGGAGGCAGTGGGTCTATTCTTGTTTTCCCCACAATGGGGCCCCTGAACCCACAGGGGGGACAGTGGGTCTATTCTTGTTTTCCCCACAATGAGGCTCCGGAACCCCCAGGGGGGCAAACTGTTTTTAATCAGGGTATGAAAAATATTCAGCTGATCAGTTGATTTAATCAAGTCTGATTCAATATGTGGCAAATATGTGTTTAATTACACAATAAATGTCAAATGTGTATATTTACTCAGTAAGTGTTAAATGTGTATATCAACACAATAAGTATCAAATGCGTATATTTACACAAAAAGTTTCAAATGTGTATATTTACTCAAGTGTTAAATGTGTATATCTACACAACAAGTGTCAAATGTGTATATTTACTCAATAAGTGTTAAATATGTAAATCATAACACAACAAGTGTCAAATGTGTATATTTACTCAATAAGTGTTAAATGTGTATATCTACACAACAAGTGTCAAATGTGTATATTTACTCAATAAGTGTTAAATATGTAAATCATAACACAACAAGTGTCAAATGTGTATATTTACTCAGTAAGTGTCAAATGTGTATATCTACACAACAAGTGTCAAATGTGTATATTTACTCAATAGTGTTAAATATGTAAATCATAACACAACAAGTGTCAAATGTGTATATTTACTCAATAAGTGTTAAATATGTAAATCATAACACAAGTGTCAAATGTGTATATTTACTCAGTAAGTGTCAAATGTGTATATCTAAACAATAAGTGTCAAATGTGTATATCTAAACAATAAGTGTCAAATGTGTATATCTCAAGCTGAATCTAAGCATCTCCAGGGTTTACCCAGCCAATAGTCTGAATGGGAGCTGGTGAACTCATCTCTATCTGTGCTCAACATTGACTTTGATGATCCACCAAGAATGTTCTCTCTTGATGATGATGTGATGACGCTTACACATCACACATTAAACATTCCTGAAACCAGGCCTGTCTGCACAAGAGAACATCCCAGATGCAGGTTTACACCAATAGCAAACACACAGAGAGATAGCACCAGGAACAACGTACCTTGTACGCATTCAGCACGGTCAAGTAATCAGAGTTGCCCATTGCAAACTCTTTCCTCTTGTCATCAGCTTCATGCTTCAAGCCAAACGGAGTTACCTACAGGGAACAAGAACACACACAAACTAGACAAGTCAACATGGAAACTTCCATCAGTGGTCATGCTTTAAACCAAATGGAGTTACCTACAGGCAACAAGAACATACACAAACTAGAGAAGTCAACATGAAAACTTCCATCAGTGGTCATGCTTTAAACCAAACGGAGTTACCTACAGGCAACAAGAACATACACAAACTAGAGAAGTCAACATGGAAACTTCCATCAGTGGTCATGCTTTAAACCAAATGGAGTTACCTACAGGCAACAAGAACACACACAAACTAGACAAGTCAACATGGAAACTTCCATCAGTGGTCATGCTTCAAGCCAAACGGAGTTATCTACAGACAACAAGAACATACACAAACTAGAGAAGTCAACATGGAAACTTCCATCAGTGGTCATGCTTCAAGCCAAACGGAGTTATCTACAGACAACAAGAACATACACAAACTAGAGAAGTCAACATGGAAACTTCCATCAGTGGTCTGCCACAACATCTGTAGTCTATAATGTTGCTGGACTCAGGACACATCCCTAACTGCTCTGTCTCTTGCAGCAAGAACAAAGTATATGGATGCTAACTACTCCCATCTTACTCTGTGTACATATGTAACACATGATATATAGTTTGGATGTTATGTTCCTTCATTCTCCATGGTTATGCTATATCATTACACAAGAGTATGCTAGCTAGAGAAATACTGACTCTATATCCAGATAAATATGTGATCATCTAAGAACAACCTTTCACACTTCTACAAGAATGAGGGTGCCTGCAGGTGTGCAGGAGCTACCATTGGTGCCTGCTGGTGCGTGTTTGAATCTCTTTAAAGTTGGAAATGTGTTTTCTTGACCTCTACTCCTAGAGTAAAATGGCTAAACCAAAAAATTCTTTGGAAAAAAGGTGACCTAAGCAATAGTGACATCACAGTTCATGTGCCCAATTGTTTACAAATATGCAATCACCACATTACACCGAAAACACCTCATGGTGTGAAAAGAAGTCCAATGCTGACAGTTTTACTAGAAAAGATGAGACGTGAGATACTCAGTGGGCAACAGCCTCACAATAAGTAGCCATACTTACAAACGGGCTCTTGAAGCTGAGGGTGGCTGCTATCGTTAGGGTGGGGTCCAGGCAGCGGAAGATGGCACCAAACAACATCAGCTTGCCTATCCTGAAATATCAGACAAAACCAGTTTAATTATCCTGAATATAAGACAAAACCAGTTTAATTATCCTGAATAAAAGACAAAACCAGTTTAACTGTCCTGAAATATCAGACAACACCATTTTCATTATCCCGAAATATCAGACACACCAGTTTAATTATCCTGAACAAGTCATCATCCTGAAATAAACAAACATCAGCTTGCCTATCCTAAAATAAACAAATAACATCACTTTACATACAAAATATAAAAACATAATTTGCCTATCCTGTAATACAGACACATCAGTTCAACTATCCTGAAATTATACACACATTTCCTATTCTGAAATTATACACACATTTCCTATTCTGAAATTATACACACATTTCCTATTCTGAAATTATACACACATTTCCTATTCTGAAATTATACACACATTTCCTATTCTGAAATTATACACACATTTCCTATTCTGAAATTATACACACATTTCCTATTCTGAAATTATACACACATTTCCTATTCTGAAATTATACACACATTTCCTATTCTGAAATTATACACACATTTCCTATTCTGAAATTATACACACATTTCCTATTCTGAAATTATACACACATTTCCTATTCTGAAATTATACACACATTTCCTATTCTGAAATTATACACACATTTCCTATTCTGAAATTATACACACATTTCCTATTCTGAAATTATACACACATTTCCTATTCTGAAATTATACACACATTTCCTATTCTGAAATTATACACACATTTCCTATTCTGAAATTATACACACATTTCCTATTCTGAAATTATACACACATTTCCTATTCTGAAATTATACACACATTTCCTATTCTGAAATTATACACACATTTCCTATTCTGAAATTATACACACATTTCCTATCCTGAAATTATACACACATTTCCTATTCTGAAATTATACACACATTTCCTATTCTGAAATTATACACACATTTCCTATTCTGAAATTATACACACATTTCCTATTCTGAAATTATACACACATTTCCTATCCTGAAATTATACACACATTTCCTATCCTGAAATTATACACACATTTCCTATTCTGAAATTATACACACATTTCCTATCCTGAAATTATACACACATTTCCTATCCTGAAATTATACACACATTTCCTATTCTGAAATTATACACACATTTCCTATTCTGAAATTATACACACATTTCCTATCCTGAAATTATACACACATTTCCTATTCTGAAATTATACACACATTTCCTATTCTGAAATTATACACACATTTCCTATTCTGAAATTATACACACATTTTCTATTCTGAAATTATACACACATTTCCTATTCTGAAATTATACACACATTTCCTATTCTGAAATTATACACACATTTCCTATTCTGAAATTATACACACATTTCCTATTCTGAAATTATACACACATTTCCTATTCTGAAATTATACACACATTTCCTATTCTGAAATTATACACACATTTCCTATTCTGAAATTATACACACATTTCCTATTCTGAAATTATACACACATTTCCTATTCTGAAATTATACACACATTTCCTATCCTGAAATTATACACACATTTCCTATTCTGAAATTATACACACATTTCCTATTCTGAAATTATACACACATTTTCTATTCTGAAATTATACACACATTTCCTATTCTGAAATTATACACACATTTCCTATTCTGAAATTATACACACATTTCCTATTCTGAAATTATACACACATTTCCTATTCTGAAATTATACACACATTTCCTATTCTGAAATTATACACACATTTCCTATTCTGAAATTATACACACATTTCCTATCCTGAAATTATACACACATTTCCTATTCTGAAATTATACACACATTTCCTATTCTGAAATTATACACACATTTCCTATTCTGAAATTATACACACATTTCCTATTCTGAAATTATACACACATTTCCTATTCTGAAATTATACACACCTTGTGTGGGTTCCATTACCTTATTTAATGGTTGGGGGGGGGGGGGGGGTATGTTGTAAAGACGACTAACTAAGGGTGTTTTGAAATCGGAGGTGTTGGGGCGAACGGCAGATATCACAGCTTAGCCGTAAACAACAACACAACATGCCAATTGCCCCTCTAAGGATAACGGCAGAAGAAGAAAATAACATAAACATTTCAGAATCCTCCATTTTGTTTGCATTTTAAATTCAATAACAGAAATTGAACTAGAGATGCTCTATCGACTTTGAGTAAAATGCAGATTGCTCTGATTGGTCATTTTTTGGATGCCAGTAAAAAGCATGTGCATGAAGTACCAGAACCCAGCGCTGTTCAACGATGTACACCAGCATACAAGATCAGGGAGCAGAGTAAAGAAACAACATCACAGCACCCATATATGCTCTGCCCTTAACTTCAGCAGCCAGAAGAAAGTTCCAATTAATGATAGTTCTAGTACCAGCTTGATTAAATGTCTGTCTTGCCTTCCTCTGAGTGTAGAGTGTTGGCCAAATCTCCCAGTCACAATCTACCGCACTCTCGCTAGATCGCTCGGTCACTCTCTACCGCATTCTGGCTTGATCGCTCGGTCACTCTCTACCGCACTCTGGCTAGATCGCTCAATCACTCTCTACCGCACTCTGGCTAGATCGCTCGGTCACTCTCTACCGCACTCTGGCTAGATCACTCGGTCACTCTCTACCGCACTCTGGCTAGATCACTCGGTCACTCTCTACCGCACTCTGGCTAGATCACTCGGTCACTCTCTACTGCACTCTGGCTAGATCACTCGGTCACTCTCTACCGCACTCTGGCTAGATCACTCGGTCACTCTCTACCGCACTCTCGCTAGATCACTCGGTCACTCTCTACCGCACTCTGGCTAGATCACTCGGTCACTCTCTACCGCACTCTGGCTAGATCACTCGGTCACTCTCTACCGCACTCTGGCTAGATCACTCGGTCACTCTCTACCGCACTCTGGCTAGATCACTCGGTCACTCTCTACCGCACTCTGGCTAGATCACTCGGTCACTCTCTACCGCACTCTGGCTAGATCACTCGGTCACTCTCTACCGCACTCTCTCTAGACTCTCTACCATGCCATGTTCTCTCTAGATAGAACAGGCTTATTCCTGCTTCCACATTGTTCACTTGCTCTGTAGTGAGTCATTTTCTTCCCCTTAATTCATGCCCGATAGATGACGTCAGTAATAAATGTAAGACGAATGTTTTGACTGACTGAGATAACACGAGATTTATGTCTTGAGTTTCATGAGAGACATCTGAAAGTCAGGTTTTATGTGAAACATGATTGTTCACGTGAACCATGAAGGTTGACTGGCAGGATTCGTGTGAAATGCGAATTATCACGGGCCAGACATGACTTTCAACGGTGGGGAATTCGTGAGAATGAAATTATCCAGAATATTCGAGAACATGACAGATCAGAGGGCTATATAATAGCGAAGAAAGGTTTGTGAGGGGGTCTCGTTTAGGCCAAGGGAAGGTGTACGTGTGAGAAGTCCGGAAGAATGTTGTCGTCTGAATAGCGTGATTTCCCAATGCCTACCTGGCATAAAATAGCGGCTGACGGAAACGGTGGCCAGCTGTGAATGACTGTCGTCTGGATGGAGGGAATTACTGTGTTTCGCTAAGCTGTGTGAATTCTACGATGTTACAAAGGTATGATTGACTGTTTAGAGTATTGAATAAGTAATCGATGAGTGATATTGTCGTGTATGAACATTTACTGACTGCAACATCAGCGAGTGAAAATAAACGGTACGTGTAACTTCTGAACGTCTGCCAGCGTCCATGTTTTCTCGTTCTTGTCAGTCGGTGAATGGAAGGATGCGGTGACTCATTCGAGCCAGAAATTAATATCAATGAAGATCACTGCAGAATGGAGCTCATCCGGTGGGACACTCATTGATTTAACACTATATCTTTATTTAATCTGTATGGAATAGTATTGTTGATTTCTAATATAGACTAAAGGTATTGGTGGATAAGAATTATTTTGTTACAAGTTTCTGCATATATATTGTAACTGAGTTTTGCTTCATTGAAAGCGAATTTAATAAGCATCATACTGAACAAGTGTATTTAGTAGTTATTACGTGAAATAATTTAAGTATTTGAGAGTATTAGTGATTACTCTATCACAGTCTATTATAAAGACTAATTCAATCAAATATTGTGGCGCGGTGATTTATGTCACAGGCGTGAGGGGAAGTTAAGTCCAACATGATGTGTATAAGGAGATACTCCGTACGTCACTCGGGCGCCAGTCCTTTACTATCCTGGTTGTACGGAACCTCACGCAAGACCCCTACAGCACGTCCTCGTCGTGCGCCACGGATAATGTCTCAAATGAGCATTAACAGAGCTGTCAGGGGATCTCGGAGTTTGGCGGCCCCCAGAGGTGATGTGTCCTTGTGGCTCTCATCAGCCCGCCCCCAAACGCTTGGGTGAAAAATGTTATCAAAACTCACCAGGAACATGAGTAAGTTTGACAAAAGTACAGCTAAAATTACAACCCTTGGTTAAAAGACTGCTGAGTAAAGAGAACATTGCTCAATGCTCATCCTCGGTTAATTCTCAGTGTCGTCGTCACCGCGCTGAGGTGCACCACAACAGCAACCATACATGGGCTGGCCATCCTTCTGCATCCTCGGTTGGCCCTCAGTGTCGTCGTCACTGCGCTGAGGTGCACCACAACAGCAACCATCCATAGGCTGGCCAGTCACGTACATCCTCGGTTAACCCTCAGTGTCGTTGTCACCGCGCTGTGGTACACCACAACAGCTACCATCCATCGGATGGCTAAGCCTAAATGTCCGACAAAACTAGATCATACGGATCAAAATCTGACCATCAAAATTTGCACTGAACTGAAAAAGGCTGAATGTCCACACCCAAAGACCCCACTTGCCCGAGGGTTGGGACAAAACTGATAACGATATGCCTGATTCAGGATGTGAAATTCTGTCGGGCTAATGT